TGCGCCACTTTGCGAAGGATCACCTCAGCTTTGTTTTGCCTTCGGAAATGCCGCTTCATGCTTCGCGGGGATGTCAGGTGGATGATCTGAAAGAAGCCGTGCGCCCAGAAGCCGTTTGCTTTGGCTCTTTGTCCGTTCTGGCTTGAGACCGTTGTCATACTCTGAGCGTTGCTTGAGGCTATCGAGAAGAAGGAAAAGCTGACCATTGCAGCATCCAAGATCAACATTCACCACCAAGAGGAGAGCTCAAAAACACCCATTTGTTCCATTCCCCACACCTCACCCCTTGCCGGACTTTGCAGGACGGCCGCTGGGTGAAAGATGATGAAGATTCAGCAGTCGACCGTGGCAAATCCAAGCCCAGCACTTGGTTCCGATGCCTTTCAACTTTGTGCCGTCGCCCAGCTGTCAGGGCAGACTGCTACGGATTCACGTTACCAGCTGGAGCTGCTGGAGCCACATAGTTTGGGGCACCTCAGCAGCGCAGCAGTCTTCTACACTTGTGCACTTGCGTCGCTGCCAGGCTACTGCTGGCTGTTGCTGTTCTCGGCTGAGGCAATGCTGGGGCACAACGTTTCACCTCGTGCAGTGACAAAAGGGTGCAGTCGCAGGCACAGTTGTTTCGTTGCAGCGCGACTTTGCTTTTGGACTGGTGATGCTTCAGGGAGGTCAATGTCCAGTTGCTTTTTGAACAGCTGGCTGCGACCGGAAAGTCAAGCAGGGAATGCCTGCAACGGGTACAGGACCAGCAACAGTTGCCGGCGCTGGTCAACAGCTGTTTCACCGAGGCGTTCCGCCCTGTGCCAAAGTGCGCGGACGCAGTACCAACCAGTTTGAAGATGCGTGGAGGAAAGCGTGCTTGCCTTGCACTTGGATTTGCAAATGATTGGCGCGCAGTGCAGCGCGACATCGCAAGTTGTCCTTCAGCAGACGGTGCAGTACGCCATTTCCTGCAACCTACTGGCAACAGAGGAGAGTTGATGTCAAACAATTCAATCTTTGACATCTGCATATGCACACATCGAGCGCAGCTTCATCCAGACGCGTTCGATGCATATTGAAACCCGGCAGCATGCCTTTCACACAGATTCATTTTCTATACCTGAAGCCTTGCCATGGACTGGCAGCCTCGGCGATTGGCAGCACATCCATCACAACCTGAGATGCTGTATTATGGTCCGTCAGGGCAGTATTCGCAGCCCTTGCATTTTGGCCCTCCTGCGCAATTTGCGCAACCTTGGCATTCAGCAGCACCTTCTTGGCCGTTTGCGCAGCCTGTGCAGTTTGCGCAGCAACCTGTGCAATCTGCGCAGCGTTACACATTACACAGCCATCCCACAGCAGAACCAGGACAGACACGAGCGCTTGACCCAACATATTGTTTACTTGATGAGCGCGGAAACCCCAAGCCCTTCTCAAGCGTCAGTCAGGTCAGCGGTAGGAACTATGAAGGTATGATATCCAGCATTTTTTACAGTAGTGGTCCTCGGACACTCCGTGCAGTCCAGAATCAAGAAGCGCAGGAACGAAATCGCTTGGAGACATGCAAGGCTGCCGTTGCAGATTTCCTGCGAACAACTGTCTCTGACCACGTGGGGGATGCAATGACAAAAACGGGTGTCGGAGAGCAGCAAGCCGAAGTTGACACAGTCTACAATGGTTCTTTCAGAAACTTTGCTGAACAAATCAAGGAACTCTGCACAGTCAAGGTCAGTGCTACGTGCGATGAGGTTGAGAGGGTGCTTGTGGAAGCTTGTTCCGACAGCCGCTTTGTTGCAATGAAACTCTTCCAGATTGAGATCCAAAGTGGTCTGGTTGGACGCAATGGATTCTTAGACTACAGGCTTTGCGATCGTTTTCAACCGAGCAGCATTGCACGTCCAGACAGAAAATCTGGCTCAACGCCTTAGGCTGACAAATGTTCTGGGCTTGCTCCGGAACAACAAGCTGCACATTGTCTACTTTCAATGGGCGAGCAAGGCAATGGAGAAGGCGGAAATTGCTGAGCAGAAAGCAGCCGCGGCACTAGAAGCGGCACAAGGCATGGGAGCGTTGTGTGAGGTTCCACATGCTATGTTTTCTTGCGATGCCCTTCTTTCCTTTTGCAGTGTCAGGATATTGTGTTGGGTCAAGGAACGAAGCCTGCCAAAACGGCGCCCTTGCCAACTCTTTCTAAGCCACTGGCATCAGAAGCTTTTGGTTTTGCATTGGGCTTGCATCTTGTTTCATGGCGCGCTTGTAAGCAGACATGCTCTTGAACGAATAGCTGCAAGCAAAGCTGGACCGATCATGTTCTTTTCAAGCAAACAATGTCTCAAAGTAGATTTCCCCTACAATCCATGCGCTGGATTATTCATCTGGCGCTGTCAGACCAACGCCCTACACATCATTTCTTGCCAGTTCTTGTACTTCCCCCTTGGATTGGACTGTTGCTTTCTAGTTGGATGTGTTCAAGCTTGATTTTGGAGCTTATCCAGTTTCAGGGCCAGTGGAAACCAATAGGATTGCCGCCTGCAAGGCAGTGCTGCCTCGCAACCATCCGCTGCAGTGTGGGTCTGTCAGCTGGGAAGCCCTGCCTGGGCCTTACCAGCATGTGCGGTTTTGCCTGCCCTGCGTTCATGTTCAAAAAAAGCTGTCAAAGGGGGGATTGCAGTGCTTGTGCGTTGCAAGGACGGCAAGGAGCCTGAGACCATTGGCAGCGCGTTCAACATCACTGCTAGTGTTTCAGATGCCTACGCCTCAGCTGCGCCACTTTGCAAAGGATCTCCTTCAGCTTTGTTTTGCCTTCGGAAATGCTGCTCGACGCTCCTCGGGGATGTCAGGTGGATGATCTGAAAGAAGCCGTGCGCCCAGAAGCCGTTTGCTTTGGCTCTTTGTCCGTTCTGGCTTGAGACCGTTGTCATACTCTGAGCGTTGCTTGAGGCTATCGAGAAGAAGGAAAAGCTGACCATTGCAGCATCCAAGATCAACATTCACCACCAAGAGGAGAGCTCAAAAACACCCATTTGTTCCATTCCCCACACCTCACCCCTTGCCGGACTTTGCAGGACGGCCGCTGGGTGAAAGATGATGAAGATTCAGCAGTCGACCGTGGCAAATCCAAGCCCAGCACTTGGTTCCGATGCCTTTCAACTTTGTGCCGTCGCCCAGCTGTCAGGGCAGACTGCTACAGATTCACGTTACCAGCTGGAGCTGCTGGAGCCACATAGTTTGGGGCACCTCAGCAGCGCAGCAGTCTTCTACACTTGTGAACTTGCGTCGCTGCCAGGCTACTGCTGGCTGTTGCTGTTCTCGGCTGAGGCAATGCTGGGGCACAACGTTTCACCTCGTGCAGTGACAAAAGGGTGCAGTCGCAGGCACAGTTGTTTCGTTGCAGCGCGACTTTGCTTGACTGTTGAAGCTTCAGGGAGGTCAATGTTCACACTTTTGAACAGCAGGCTGCGGTGTTCAAGTCAAGCAGGGAATGCCTGCAACGGGTACAGGACCAGCAACAGTTGCCGGCGCTGGTCAACAGCTGTTTCACCGAGGCGTTCCGCCCTGTGCCAAAGTGCGCGGACGCAGTACCAACCAGTTTGAAGATGCGTGGAGGAAAGCGTGCTTGCCTTGCACTTGGATTTGCAAATGATTGGCGCGCAGTGCAGCGCGACATCGCAAGTTGTCCTTCAGCAGACGGTGCAGTACGCCATTTCCTGCAACCTACTGGCAACAGAGGAGAGTTGATGTCAAACAATTCAATCTTTGACATCCGCATATGCACACATCGAGCGCAGCTTCATCCAGACGTGTTCGATGCATATTGAAACCCGGCAGCATGCCTTTCACACAGATTCATTTTCGCTCCTGAAGCCTTGCCATGGAGCGGCAGCCTCGGCGACTGGCAGCACATCCATCACAACTTAGCTAAATTCGAGAGTCATGAAAGAGCCTTCCATGATAGGGGGCTACCGTATGTGTACGGTGGGGTGCGCGTACAGTGCGCGATGCGTGCGTGCAGTTGGCGCGCGGCGCGCGTACGGTGCGCGTACGGTGCGCGTACGGTGCGCGTACGGTGCGCGTACGGTGTGCGCAGTGTGTGCGCGGTGCGCGTGCGACGCACGCGCGGTGTGCGTGCGGTGCGCGCACGGCGCGCGCGATGCCGCATCCGGGCGGCGCACGTGCGATGCGCGCGCGATGCTTGCGCGGTGCATGCAAGCGCAGTGCGCGTGTGGCGGGCGCGCAGTGTGGTCCACTTCGGTCTAGCACACCCAGACTTTGCGGCGAAAGTGTGTGTGCCGAGATGTTTTGTTTTTCCAAACCTGATTTGTTTGTCCAACTTGGTTTGGGCGTGACCAATGAGACTGTTCTTATGAGCGCTAATCCTTTTGGGTGGTGGTAGAGGCCTTTTCTAAGTGCTCTCTATGAGAGGTGTGAAAAGGTGGTGGCCTCCTGCCTGATAACACTTGTATGTGGTACACAGACTTTGTGATCAGCGAAGCCGGTGTATGCTTTGATATGACGGAAGAGGAAATTCGTCATGTGCTTGATTTTCCTTGATTTTTGCATGTGATTTTCACATCATGAATTTTAAGGACCCCTCGCACTGGTGTCAACATGTTCCATGAAGTTCAGGTTTGAACACATGTCTGATCCAGTGCCGGGCTCCACAGGATGAACAAAACTCGCTTGGCTGTAGAAGATTGCAAGAGACCGAAGCTAGACCTGATCCGGAAACTCTTGGTTGGGGCTACCTATGATGACCCAAGCAGCGAGGATTTGGGATGCCGCTGGATGAACGCGGTTTTTGCGAGGCTCTTCATGAGCTGGTGGTCAGAGCGGTGCGTGAGAGCCTGGCGGATTTGCAGAGGAGTTTCTTTCTGCTGGCAACAGGGAGGATGAAACAATCACCTTTCAGTGAAAGTGCTCTTGACGGCTTCAGAACCAGTTGGTTTGGAATGCTCCCTGACCCAGTGCTGGCTGGGGTAAAGACTCCTTTCCAGCCTTTCTTCCTGCATGCTTTGGCTATGTCACTGAAGCAGATGGATGACCCAGACTGGAGGATCCTTGCCGAGAATGCGGGGGACAACTACGTCACCGGCAGAAAGGTGGGTGTGGGCGAGAGGTTCCCACGAGCCAGGGAGGTTTTCAGGCCAAAGAAACGCCACAAGGTTTACGCAGACAGTGAGTTTGCGCCGGAAGCGGTGAACTACAAAAGTGCTCAAGAGACAGCAGGCCAGATCGAAGAGCAGCTCAGAGCCGAGGAGGAGGAGGGTTTCGTCTTCCCGTTGACACTAGCTGAGGCACGCAGGAGGTACGGGGACAAGCTAAGGATCGCGGCTCTGGGGGCTATTGTCAAGGATTCGGGGGAGGTCAGAGTGTTGTTTGATGCTACACATTCTGTACAAATCAATAACTCGATACGGATCGCAGACCGCCTTGAATTTCCTTCCGCTGCCAGTTTGGCAATGGTGCAAGAAGCCTCGCGTGAGGATGATGAGCGGGTGCTGGTGACAGTTGCTGCTGATGTGGCTAAAGCACATCGTAGATGCTTGTGCAGAGAAACGGACTTTGGATATTTGGGCTGCCGCGCTAAGCCTACTCCTGGAGATGACCCCAACAAGGACACTGTCTGGCTCAACAGAGTAGGGACGTTTGCGCCGCTTTGCACTTTGGCAGGCTGGCTGGGGCCATCGGCAGATTTGCAGGCCGGGCGATGTTGCAGGAACATGCTTACCAGCTTCTGTTTGCAGATGACCTCAAGTGGACTGCTGGGGGTTCATGCAGGTATTTGGTGCTTCATATTCCTGTGGCTGGCTGTGGGCACGCCGTTTTCTTGGCACAAGTTCAGGGGCGGCATTTCATTGGACTATGTGGGGTTCTACTGCGACTACGCTCGGTTTGCAGTGGGGATCTCTGAGCGGCGGTCAGCGTGGTTTGTGGAATGGGTTGATGCTGCAAGGAGAGATCAATGGATAGTCGCCCAGAGGGGGTTTGTGGAATTTCTTGGGCGGCTGTCGTTTGCCGCGCAGGCGTTGGGCTGGCTTCGACCTTTCTTGGCGCCGCTCTTTGCCTGGTCTGCTGTGCTGTCAGTAGGGATGACAGCTGCTCTGCCTACACAGGTGAGGCTCACCCTGGTGTTTATTCAGAGGATGCTGGTGAGGGGGAACTATACTGTGTCGTGCTCCTCTCCTGCACAACCTACCGCTCAGGCGTTCAGGACGGATGCCAAATGTGCAACAGGCTCTGTTGTGCTGGGAGGCTGGTCATTGGGCGATGGGGCAGATCCTGGCGCTGCCAAATGGTTCAGTTTGGAACTATCTCCCACCATGGCGCCTTGGCTTTTCGGGAAGGACAACGAGTCGAAGATGAACTCTACGGTGGCTGAGCTTCTGGCAGTCTATGTGGCTTTGCACTGCTTTGGGTTTTTGGAGTCTGAAGGATCGGCGCCACGGGTTTTGTCGGTGTGCGGGGGCACTGACAACTTGGCCATCGACTACCTCAGTCGCAGCCGATCAACGACACGTTTTCCTTTGGCACTGGTGAACATGCAGCTGTGGTACAGGCTCTTTTCTGCAAAGGTGTGGTTACAGTGGCGCCCTAGAGGCGAAAATCAGTTGGCGGACGACCTCACCAACGGGGACTTTGGCTCCTTCTCCATCGAACGTCGAGTTCCAGTGACTTGGCAAGACATTGATGTGGGACTGCTGGAAGAGATGCTTGAAGCTCAAAGGGAGCTGGAAGAAGCGCTGGTAGAGGCGAGACAAGCTGGCGCTGGACCGAAACAAAAGATGTCAAAAAGGGCGAAGCTGGAGTCAAAGACCAAATGGGAAGGAGGCTCTGCTGCTCGTCCCTGAAGGGAAGGGGGGAGAATGTGTGGCTTGAATGATGAAATGGTGTCCACCGAAAGAGGGTGGAGTCTTGAATGGGGCCACACATCTACTCGCAGCAGTGCCTCTAAGAGGCCCAGCTTTGCCATACCGACTCAAGACGAGCAGATAAAAGAAGGGAGTGCACGGTCCTTGCAAGCATCTTGTGAACCAAGGCAGTCTACATGTCACGCTTGGCAGATTTTATGTTTTCATGATGTTGCCTGTTACGCCTCCTGTTTGGATGTTGTCCCTTTTGCACTGCTCCACGGACCGCTGTCCTCTGTTGGGCTGTGTGGGGGGGGGGGGGGTGGTTTCCTGGGTGGGTTTCCTTTGCCCCCTGTTGGTTTTTCTGGGAACTTTTGTTCCCTGAGTTCCTCGTTGTTTTTTTTTTTGTTTTTTTGGTTTTTTTTTTTTTTTTTTTTTTATTTTTTTTTTTTTTTTTTTTATCTTTTTATTTTTTTTTTTTTTTTCGTTATTTTTATGTTTTTTTAGTATTGTTTTTTTTTTTTTTTGTCGTTTCTTTTTTTTTATTAGTTTTTTTTTCGGGTTTTGTTGGGGGGCTCCGGGTTGACAACTAAGGTACTTTGGCTCAAAGCGAGATCCATATGATCTCCCTTGGATATGCCTGGATTAAGCGAAGGGAACAGTTGGTTTGAGCGCTAATCCTTTTGGGTGGTGGTAGGGGCCTTTTCTAAGTGCTCTCTATGAGAGGTGTGAGAAGGTGGTGGCCTCCTGCCTGATAACACTTGTATGTGGTACACAGACTTTGTGATCAGCGAAGCCGGTGTATGCTTTGATATGACGGAAGAGGAAATTCGTCATGTGCTTGATTTTCCTTGATTTTTGCATGTGATTTTCACATCATGAATTTTAAGGACCCCTCGCACTGGTGTCAACATGTTCCATGAAGTTCAGGTTTGAACACATGTCTGATCCAGTGCCGGGCTCCACAGGATGAACAAATTTGAGGTCCCACCCTCCCTCCCTGTATGATTTCTTCTTCGGGCCTTGGGGGGGGGAGAATGTGTGGCTTGAATGATGAAATGGTGTCCACCGAATGTGTGGCTTGAATGATGAAATGGTGTGTCTTGAATGGGGCCACACATCTACTCGCAGCAGTGCCTCTAAGAGGCCCAGCTTTGCCATACCGACTCAAGACGAGCAGATAAAAGAAGGGAGTGCACGGTCCTTGCAAGCATCTTGTGAACCAAGGCAGTCTACATGTCACGCTTGGCAGATTTTATGTTTTCATGATTTTGCCTGTTACGCCTCCTGTTTGGATGTTGTCCCTTTTGCACTGCTCCGCTGTCCTCTGTTGGGCTGTGTGGCGGGGGGGGTGGTTTCCCTGGGTGGGTTTCCTTTTCTGGGAAGTGTTGTTTCCCTGAGTTCCCTCTTTCGGGTTTTGTTGGGGGGCTCCGGGTTGACAACTAAGGTACTTTGGCTCAAAGCGAGATCCATATGATCTCCCTTGGATATGCCTGGATTAAGCGAAGGGAACAGTATGATGTGTTTTTTGAAGTCGGTTGTGCGTTTTCACGCGCAGCTGCGCATGCAACCACTTGCGTATGAATTAAATATCACACGTGTTGCATGAGTGTATGAACTATATTTTGATAAAATGATCGCGATTGATTGACATATATCATGTGGCACATGTTTCTGCTCACATGCCGGTCAGCTGGCATCAGGCCCAGCAAAAACAAGCAGAGCTTGCGCGCCGCAAAACCAGGCCACACAGATCTCACCTCTTTTTCAGCCCAGCCGCAACTCAGACTCAACCTTGGCTTTTTCTGGAGTGGTCTGCCAAAAGACATGCAGTTTGTCACAGGGCCGGCCGCGCATACTGTACTACTTTCTACTTATCTTGCCTGAGCTGAGTGTTGATGAGAGTTTCTCAAGCGCCAAGCACGCAAACAGCCAGGACATCATCTCGAGTGTCATGTTTCTGTAGCCTTGGCTGCTGCGGGAAAAATGGGCATAAACTCATAACACAACACATGACAGAACAAATCACACCGCTAACAAAGATAACGAACAACCCTAGTACAGGATTGGGATCATCGAGTGAAACAGCAATAAAAGTCCATTGTTTTCTGAGGGACGATGACCCTTTGGACCAAGTTTTAAGCGACGAACGACGGAACCGTCAAAACAATGAACATGGACAAGCAACTCTTTCACCAAAGCGTCCAGATCTTGTTCTTCCTCCTCCTCCTCCTGGGCCATTGCGTAGGATAGTTCAATCACGCAAGCAATGAAGATGCTCAAGCGCATGCTGGTCTCAAATCTCGCAGGGGAGACAAATTGAAGGCAAGGTTGCGTTTGACAGTTTTTTGGGAGCTGTTGAATGAAGGTGAGGGGAAGCTGCAATTAACGAGCTAAGTAGGAATTGTAGCCAATGTGTCTCAAAGTTTTGAAGTCTCTGTAGATTCCACGTCAGCGGTTGCTGTGCAGTTACAGTGTCCGCAGACCCCTCCTTCAAAAAGAAAGGGCGGTTGCTTCATTAATTCACTTCATTCTCTGTCCAGCTCAGACTCAAAATTCAGCTTTATGTGTTTGCTGCCAGCGATGAGTCCGGCGTCCATGTAGGACCCGGGCTCGTATCGTCATTACTGTACTTCACTCTCCATCCAGAATAGCTTTTAGCTGCGCCGCTGGCTCTCTTGGCTCTTAATGGTAAGGGATCTCTTGATGGCTGAGCAGACCTTCCAAGCGCATTGCTCGGAAACGGGCTTCTTTTTGTTTGGCCCCCAAGGCACGTAGGGCTAAACAAAACGTCGAGAATAAAGTAGGTCAAATTTGGCAACGTTGGCAAGACACTGAACGAGAGCAGGCTATCGCCAAACAAGAATTTTGAGGCTTGTTTTAGCATGATGCCCAAGAAAAGGCCCTATGATCTTGAGTGCAAATTGCCCAACCTCACATCAGGTCTTCCCCAGCATCACTTGTGTTTTGGTCTAGGGAATGCTTGCGCTGGTGGTGTTGAGGATGCTGCTGCTGCGTTCCTGTTATGTCCACACACATACATATATGCATATAGATCGGAATCATAAGTGACGCAGCGCAAACTGTCCTTTGGGGTTCGATTCCTTCTAGGCCACCGTAGACTAGAGTAGGTTCCTCAGCATCACCAATGCTTTAGCAAAATAAACGATTTGTTGTGTTTATTTACAGCGGCCATCACCCTGAGCATCACCAGTGTTTTTTAGTCAACAAAACGATTTCAACACATTGCGCGAGATACTCAACTGGAATACTCGACAGACACAGCCGCCCGAACTTCGCTAGTCTGAATTTGTTTCTTTAGTTTTGTTTCTACAATTCAAATGTCATGTTTGGATTTGCTGGTGACGCTGGCGACGCAAAGGGGCAACATTTTGAGAGCGTTTTGTCCCAGACGCTAATGGTGTTTTTTGCACGTGTACTAGCGCCTGACATTCCCAGCGCCTGTCCGCTTATTGAGAGTTGATGTTGCAGTGATCCGCAGACTAGAGCGCATCAACAGATCTTTAAGAAAGATAACGGTTTATTGTTTGCTTGAAGTGGTCATCACCACCAATATCACCGGCGTTTAGCTAAGAAACAACCCGATAAGCCCCTTGCAAGGGATTCAGCTTAGACGTTTCACAAGCTTCAGGCTTAAGTACCCATGCATTTACACATACACATGCCTTTGGCGTGGGGTCGGCAGCCCTTAAATCATCAATCTCACGTATGTTTCGGACCAGTATCGGACCAGTATGAAGTTCGGGGCTCCAGATTCTAGAGTAGAGTGATTCTTTTTAGGTTCTGCAATCTGAAAAGTCTACTGAAAAGAAAGATTCAAGCAACACTCGCCACGGTTGTCAAGTATTTTGATGTCCGGGGACCAGTTTCCAGCCAGGTTTGTCATCTGATTTCTGAGAAGCGTCCAAAACCTTTTTTTGAAACCCCAACGCCTGCATTTGGAGCAGCTCGCGCCCTTAAGTGTATGCTTGTGGAAAACCGGCGCGTCCTCACATTGGAGTCAATGAGTGTGGGTGTGTCTTGTTACTGAGAAAGCAAAGCAAACCCAATGACCTGAAGCTGGGTTCAAAAGCATCAGCAGCTAAACGCGCTGGCTGCGCAACGGACATGAGTCTCACGCGCGCCATACACGCGCACTGCGCGCTCCACACACGTACAGCGCGCGCGTGCGCTGTCCACCGTACACGCGCGCGCGCCGCACGTACGTACACACCGTACGCGCGCCGGCGCGCGCGCGCCATTCCGTACGACCGCCGTATGCGCGGACCGTACGTGCGAAAAGAACACCGCAGATTTGAAAAACAACGCAACAGATAATGAAAAACACACATCAGGTTTTGAGAAAAAAACGCAGCAGAATTTGGCACACGCGTTTTGCGTACAGTCCGCGGGTACGGTTCGCGTGCGGTACGTACAGCGCGCGCGCGCGTCGCACGTACGTACGGGCGCGCGCCGTGCCGTACGGCCACCGTACGCGCGGGCCGTACGTACAAAACAACACAGCAGATTTTGAGAAAAACACAACAGATTTTGAAAAACACAGCAGATTTTGAATAAAACACAGCAGGTTTTAGCGCACACTTTTTGCGTACAGTCCGGGCGTACGGTTCGCGTACGGTACGTGCAGTGCGCGCGCACGGTGCGTACGTACAGTGCGCGCGCGCTCCGCGCGTACGGTTCGCGTGTGCGCGCGCGCGTGCGCGCAGCTTGCACGTACACACCCGCGTGCGCACCGTACGCGCGCGCGCCCCGTACCGTACGGCCACGATACGTGTGGACCGTGCGTGTTAAAAATCACAGCAGATTTTGAAAAACCTCAACAGATTTTCAAAAAAGGCAGCATATTTTGTTGGAAAAACCACAGCAGATTTGGGCGCACACTTTTTGCGTACAGTCCGCGCGTTCGGTTCGCGTGCAGCGCGTGCAGAGCGCGCGTACGGTGCGCAGGCGCAGTGCGCGTGCAGTGCGCGCGTTCGGCG